GTACGACGAAAACAACATCCCATTGACTCGTACTAGTGTGTTTTATAAACAGTCGAAAAGTTTAAAACTTGACGATATGTACAAATTTCAGCTTTTAAAATTCATGAATAGGGCACTTTTCTATGATGAACGTCTTTTTAATTCTGCATTCGCCTCTCTTGTTCCTCAACATTCCCATGACACCAGAGGCATGCGTCTTAACTTACCCCCGGTTCGGTTAGAAATTGAAAGAAACGGTACAGTTTTTAATTGTGTAAAATATTTTAATGAATTGCCTGATGAGTTTAAAGTAGATTGTTCAAAATTCATTCTAAAGGCTAAATTCCGCGATTTTATTCTTACCCATTATTAATTTGACTTCGATTATCATGTACGATTCTAGTAATTGCCTTTCTTAATAGGATCTTTGATAAATATTAAGGCGTAAGTCAACATTGTTTTGACTTTTAGTCTTAGTTGGATCTGTCTTTTAGGTATAGGTTGTTATTGCCTTTGTTTTATTCATTTTTAGTCGCCAAGATGCTTATTCTCATATCAGTTTTTTTAAGGGTTAGTTTATAAGGATGTTTTTACTTTAGGCACTTTCTGTTCCCTATTGACTTATCTCAGTATCATTCATGTTATTGTTCTATTGAGAGTAATATCGCCTATGTCGCCTGTGAAGCTTTTTAGCTTATATAGGCATTAAAAAAATTTCATTTCCATAGAATTTCTGCATATCTGGTGCGACACTTCGTTCGATCTTTTGTGGGTCTTTCTGCGACTATAAATGTGCAATTCGCAGACGCTCCTTATTGTCACGGTGAGTAAATTCGTTACTTCATAAGATTTAATTCATTTTTTTAACAACTGAAAAGTTGAATATTTTGGTTATACCTTATTGTGCGTTTAAAACTTGTTTCTGCCAAGGTTCCTTTAATTTTCCGTCAGTTATGTTGGACCGGGTTCCTTCGTCTTTAAGTTCGGTGAACCTCTATTATAAAACCTCCTTTACCAAGCTATTGTTCTAGAACTTGGTCTCGCTCCTAATTTCTTTGGGCGCCAGCTGCCTAAAGCTTTGTACCGGTCGTCCCTGGGATCAAGTCCAAAAAATAAATAGTTCGATTTGTTTCTCGTTTGTGCATCAATTCCAACGATCTTGTGAGAAATCGACTTGATCCATGCCTCCAGGATTCGGACTCCGGTCTCCCACACGCGATGCAAAGCCTCTACCGTTGAGCCATCGGAAAGGACTTGGTACTAGAGTAATTTTAAAATGTATGACTGAAGTATTGCAAGTATAAATTTCATCAAATGACAGAGGTTAGTGCTACCACCGTCATGATTATATAGTTCCATCAACAATTTCATTTGAACATGCTGTTATATTCGAGTAAACAGCCACTGAAAGAAATTTCTTTTATCCATAACGAACGAGGTTCAGCTCAGAGTAAAAGCTACGGGAAAATGCTTAATAAGCATCGAAGTTTCATAATGTGAACATAACACCAATTTTGACAGCAGTTTGATTCGAAATATTTCACCAAGAATATTCATGCGTGAAATAAGGAATTGATATAACAAGACGATTTTAAAATGTCAGGCGTGAATTACCTGCACGACTTGGGTCATTATATTTCTCTGGCCTAATCTTTAATCTTTCGCGCAGGAAAGCTACCGAGACCACTCTAGTAGAAATTTTGACTTAAAATTGAAATAATTATCTGACTGTATGAGCAAATTTCATAAAATAATTAAATTTCACTATCGAAGTCAGCTATAGAAAACTGAATTTTTATTCGTTTCCCTCTGCGTAAAAAGGACACTTTTTGACAAGCAAATTACCCGGAAAGGACATATTTCAAGCTGGAAATGGTAAAGATTTGTAGAAAGCTCAACGCTGACGCGAGTACGCCCAACGCAGGTATGAACGGTATGAACGTGAACGTGTGATAACTCGACTTGTTCGCTGCGTTTGAGAGCTGTCGAACCGCTGCGCTTTAGAGATGACAAGCATCTGCCGACTACGCCAACGTGGCTTTAGAGTTTAGATAAATAGGGCAATTTGAGAATATTGTTAATATTATATAACACACTTAATCGAACCAAACAATTTTTACTTAATGGTACAATAATTAGTCTGAATTGATCGAAATATTTCTATGAGAGCCAGTTGGCGCATTCGCAAAATTCGCAATAAATTTACTCAATATCTCATGGGAACATAAAAAATTAGATTCGATATCATTTTTTGAAGAACTGTTTTTTTTGCGACGAAATTTTCCATCGTTCCTCGGACAATTTTTGCCAGGAGCATTCTGATAAATGCCCAGTGGCTTCACCTTGGCTTGAAAAATTTGTGAACACCTTGCTTCTATCTGTTTTACTCGTACCTACTAAATTCACGCTTGATTTTTGCTAGATATTTTTAACAGAACTGCATCTTAAAGCCAAGCACACAGAACGAAGTCATGGTTTCGTCTTGATCTCGAATAACCCGCAACCCAATAACACCTTTCTTCGTTTTACAAATTACAGTGGCAAATACCTTCGTGCACTGTGTAGTTTGGGCAAACGGTTATCGGTGTCTTACAAGAGATTTGTCTGCAATGTGTCGTCGACGATTAAGATCCTATAAATCATCGATATTTCATCGATGATTCTTACCTATACTCGCCACCCTTTCGATTTATTGGCGTTTTATTGTCGATTTTTTGGTTTTATTGTTTTTATTATCGACTGATCTGGCCACCCACCGTTATGCCACCTATAATCTACTATCGCCCCTAGAATCATCGATGCACCACCCTTAATTTTTATTTGGATTACGTTGCCTGACATTTTATGGGCTTCCTTTAAATGAGGCTCGACGCTTTTGAACAAACTTCAATACCTATGTGTAATTCTAATTTTTACCTGTCACACGACGCTGAAGTTATTGAATTTCTAGCTCTCAAATTTTATCAAAACTAGAAATTATGAATTATATCTGATGTCCAATATGCACGCACTAGGAAGGATGATTCGTAGGAAGAGTCAGGAAAGAAATAGAAGGTAAATTCGTGATTTTTCTTGTAGGATTAATCAATTCACTGCTGTTCTGTTACATCATATCCCTCATGAATTCTTTAACTTCGCAAATGAATAAACTAGTTTACAGGCACGCGTTCACGTTAAGACCGCGCGTCAGGAGCCTCTTGCTGCGCTATCAGGGATGACGGACACGCAGCGCTGATAAAGCGTGGCAGGGCATGGCGACTATAACTATATAGCTGCGTTTGTGGCAAGAAATTCAGACGATAACATTTTTCAGGAGTAAATAAGGGTTTAAAATCTTATGTTAACAAATCAAAAGTTTGATGATCAAAGTCACTTAACATAACAGAAGATTTTATATCTGATACATATTCATTTTGGATAACAAAATCTTTGACGGCAGATAAATTGCCTCGACAGAAGTGAAAAAAGCGGCAGAATCCCTCTGGTGTTCGGTGGAAAAACGTCAGCATTTTCCTGGAATAAAATATTAACACATAAGATGATTGATAGCGGAATGAGGGCTAGGGTCGAATTATGTACTTCATTTTCGTTTTGCATAAAATTTTGCACTCCAAAGTGCAAAATCAGATACAGTGAAAATCAGATCAGATCATCACTTATCAGATACAGAATAAAGAAATCCTAATGACAATCTGAAAGAATTTTAAATATTCTTCAAACATTTCCATCATTTCTTCCTTCGACAGTGGAAATAGCACTAATTTTACAAATTTCCCACAGGAGACTGTGCGAATAATGGAAACTATGAAAGTTGAGATTAATACTAAGCTGCATACAACACTTGCTTTAGAGGAATGGACGTTTGAATTAAAGCACCACACACGCACCAGAAAGCGCATAGTTGCAGGCGCTGACACTCGTTATTTTGCCTGGTCTGATAAGCGGCCTCTTGCTTCTCTCGCCGCACAGCTCAGGCGCTGCTAGTAACACAAATTGTGGAAGGGCTGGGAAATGATCTATTAGTGGGTGATTACGACGAATTCCCAAACACATTATCACTTACCGCAGTAATAATAATAAAGCATTTGTATGCTAAAGAGAGACTCGTGTAAATTCGCTTTTTAGCGCATTTTCACATTCATGAAAAAAGGCGCTATTTATCTCGTCATGTCTGTCCGTCCGTGACTTCAGTCCGTCCGAGAAAATCCGCTCTCTGTGACTCACTGCTGTGAGTACGTATCTATTTTTTCATAGAACATGGAACTCCCACATGTTCGTTTTAAAATCCGGAACTCATGAATATCAATTAAAAACTAAATTTTAAGATGTTGTCTAACCCTTTCCTCCTCTCTTTTTTAGCGCATTTTCTCATTTATGGAAAAATGCGCTATTGTGCTCGTCATGTCCGTCCGTCCGTTCGTGGCTTCACGTCACGGACGGACGAGACAATGCGCTCTCTGTCACTCACTGTAGTGAGTACTGATCTAAATTTTTAATATGTTGTCTAACCCTTTTTGCAATGCCTCACTTTCTTCCGCTAAGAATAAATTTTTAGGTCCAGGTCATATCCCGACAAGATATGCATCCTTGCTACGCTCCACAACAGCCCCTATATATTTGTGATTCCTGGCAAACGTCGCATCAATCAACATCAGGGTATCCTTAAAGTCTGGACACATAGTAAAGTTAAATATTTTTCGAAATAGTATTCAAAATTATTAATATATGTTTTACATCCACAGAGCAATTATGGCTTTGGCAAAATAAAAATGAAGATTTTATTTGAATACAATAAATAGTGGAAATAAAACTTAATTTAAATTGTATGCAAAAATATTCAACTATCCTATGTGTTCAGACTTTATGGACACAATGTAAAATTAGCTACCAACTATGTTCTCTGGATGAGGGAACATAAGCGATTAAACATAAAAATGATAACATCATAAGTCTTTACAACGAAAAAGTTTCACACTCTAAAGCACTTACGTCTACGATATTGCAATAATTGAGGTACTTACGAGTACAATGACGCAGCTAGGAAGTGTTTCCAGTAATTGTACACTTGTACACTTAGGATTGTAATTTATAGTCACCAAGTTCACACACCAAGAAACCCTTAGAATAGCTATATATAGTCACCAGGTTCACACACCAAGATACGTTAGCTAACACTTCACAGCGCCAACAAAACCTCACTGTGAGGACATCTTTATACCCTAGTAACAATTCTACAATGGGCCCATGTCGGGCCCATGCGACAATGGGGAAAAGAGGTGGCATTATGGTTCCAACATATGGGGCCCGCATTGCTGCTATCTTACTCAGAGGCTGCGTGACATTGTTATGTGGCTACAACATTGTACGAATAAAGTAGAACCAGTAAAGAAATCAGTGGTGTTGTGCCATATGGCGTTCATGTGGCAAACCAAGATAATACTGAAAATCCAAGTGTTTGTCTCAATGTTGATGTACTATAACAATTAGTGAACTCAGACACAGAAAACGTATTATACAACAAATATTTTAGTTTATAAAACTTATTTTAGTTCATAACTTGAAAATAGGTAATGATCTCATATCAAAACACGACTATTTGTGTAATGATCGGCAAATTATTCAATAGAATAACATGAATCTTAATTTAGAGAATTTCTTTCAATTTGAATTGCCTGAAATTTTAAGTCATGAGATACGTAGCAAATTGTCAATAGTCCACTTGCACTCGAATTTATTGTTTGGAAATTGCATCATGCACCTGAGTTGTGATTAAAAAGAATTCTTTCGAGGGCAGTGTGGAGTTTGAACGAGTATCCGTTCCGTTGGCTCTCGGACAACGTTCGTTTGAACGATGAACGAACGAGTATGTCCGATAGCAAATATCTTAGTTCATAGAATTTATTTTAGTTCATAAATCGAAAATTGTTAATGATCTCATATCAAATTACGACTATTTGTGTAATAATCTGCAAATAATTCAATAGAATGACATGAATATTAAATTAGGAGATTTCTTTCATTTGAATTGCCTTACAATTTTAAATCACGAGATACGTCGCGACTTGTCTATAGTCCACTTGCACTCGAATTTATAGTTTAAAATTGTTTCATGAACTTGAGTTGTGATTAAAAAGAATTCTTTTGAAGGCAGTATAAAGTTTGAAGGTACAACCGTCACGCGGGCACTCATGCAGACGATGTTCTTTTGAACGAAGTTCGAACGAGTTGTGCCGATGCGGCCATGACTAGCTTCCAGTGCTAGTCGTGTCGTTAGTCCGCTCAGTCGTGTAGTTATGATTACGAGTATACTCTTGGATGGTTGTTCACATAGGTGATCGTGTTTCATGTAATGTTTCTGTGTATTTAATTATCATGTACTGTGTCACTAGGAGAGTGATTAAAGGAGTGTTCACGTTTTTCAAGCCGTTCAACCGTCACGCGGGCACTCCTGCAGACGACATCCGTTTGAACGATGAATGAACTACCGGTAGTGGTGCTGATCCATGGCTAACTTCCAGTAGTGTCGACAGTTGTGCACTTACGACTATACTCGTGCAAGGTTGTCCTTCTAAATGTTGTGTTTCCTGTAATATTCCTGTGTAATTGAATTATCATGTACTCATTGTACTGTGTCTCTAGGAGAGTGATTGGAGGAGAGCTCACGTTTTATTGCGGCTATGTGATCTGTAATAGAAATGTGCTCGAAAAGCGCTCAGTAAGTAAAGCCAAATTTGCAAACATTGCCATTCGAAACAGGGCACGCCTGATCTGAAAATTTCAGAGCTCTGAAGATATTCCGACAATGATTTAGGAATGCATTGCGATTGCAGTACTGCAGTTCACGTTCAGTTCAGTTGAGCCGGTGAGCTACGCTGGCAGTCCGTAGTACTGATAGTGTTTCGGTTCATATTTAAAAGTTTAGGAGTTTATTGCATATAAATGATATAATTGACTGACCATGACGACTTTACTGTTAGAAAGACATCGTTGCATTGTTAGAAAAACATTGTTGGTCTACATGAATTGTTCACTTGCGCTTAGCCCCTGATAAACTTACTATAGTGAATTTCGTCGAGTGCAACTGCTAGTGCTAGTCAGCCTAGCCCCTAAGCTAGGGCTAGGCTGCCGACCCTAAGCTAGGGACGGCAGCCGCAATGACCAATGGCGTTCGGTGATGGAGTAGTACTACTACTACTACTACTACTACTACTACTACTACTACTACTATATTCATTATTTAACAATTATTCTTATCATTATCTTAAATTTATTATCATTTATTGTTATCAGTTACTTATTACTTTCTCATCAATTTCTCATAACTTTTCCATCATTTTTCATCCTTTTTCCATTTTTTCATCATTTTGCCATCATTTCTCAATCATTTTGTTATCCTTTTCACATCGTTTTCTCAAAATTTCCCCCACCTTTCTCCATTTATTTTCCCATCATCTTCTCATTATTTTCCCCATCATTTTCTCATTATTTTCCCATCCTTTTTCCATAACTTTCCCATCATTTTCTTGCATTTTTTCCATAATTTTTTCATCATTTTTTCTATAAATTTTCAGCATTTTCCTACTATTCTCTCATAATTTTCCCACCATTTTCCATTCATTTTCCCATCATTTACCCGTCATTTCCATAATTTGATTATCCTTTTCCCACTGTTTTCCCATCCTTTTCTCATCATTTTCCCATCATTTTCACATTATTTTTCCATTATATTCCTAATATTTCCAAACCAATTTCAATTCATTTTCCCATCATTATCTCATCATTTTTCTATCGTTTACTGGTCGCTTACCCATCATTAACCTATCATTTACCTATCATTACCTATCGTTTGCCCATTATATAATGAATGGATTAATTCATTACGTATATAATGGGTAAATGAACCCATCCTATCAATGAACCCATTTCCATCATTGTCATCATTCAATCATCATTTATTCCATTCATATTATCAATCATCAATCATTCCATTCATTAAAAATATTGATTTTTCAGACTGTTATCACAAGTCATTATTAAGTCATTAACATGTGATTTCTACGTGGCCTAACTGGGCAGAATTTTCACAAAAACCATGGGGCTGCCATATGGCATTTTCACATGTGGCCAATATTGTCATGCCACTTGGGACCAACATGGGATATGAATCTTGCAAGTTTTTGGTGAAGCGGCGCAGCACAAGGCGTCGCAGATAATGGTTATCAGGACAGCAGATAACGGCATATGCCGGCGTAGGCACCTAAACCTCCGACCTCAGGGATTTACTCGCTTGTGGTTCAAGTTGAAAATTTGATTAATTACACCAACGAAAATCGATTTGAGGCCGATTAATTTGGCCTAAAGAAATTATCACAATCTATTTCACCGATTAATTTTGTCCAAAAAATTTTACTTTTTCGTGAAGCTACATGGATGAATACCCCAGCAGCTGAGGCATACGTGTTGTATTCACGATACGAGACTGGAACTTAGGTTCGATGTAACGCCCCACCATATTTATTGGAAAATGTCAGTAAATATCTAAGCAATGTAAAGATTTAATGTCCAAGTCACTTGAGCCTCTCCATTATAGCTTATGTCTTCTCTGTATTGTCGCTGATCGTTCAATATTGTACCAGTTACACAATCAACCTCCTGTAACCATTCGTTGTTTTCCAGCACTTATCGCTTGATCTTAGATTTAGACAAGCCGTACTGTTTTAGAGGGCGTTTTGCAAGGATTAAACTAAATAAAGATATTCTAATATGTTTCAGGGTAAATCAGATTAGTTTCATAAACTACAGACAACAGCTTTACACCGACGACTGTTACTCAGACGGCCAGTGCAGCATATTCGGTTGGGGGGACTTTCATGTCACTGCCACACTCTCTTTGCTAGCGTTACCTGTGCTATCACTTGAAATTTCACGCTGTATAACATGTGAAAACATGTGTACGATTAGCTTAGGCCAGAGCGATAAAATCTTTCGTTGTCTCGGGGCGAGAGAAGCAATGTCCAGAAAGCAGCAATGTCCGCACAGAAGCAGCTGTGCGGCGAGAGAAGCACAGCTGCTATCGTTTGCCCATTATATAATGAATGGATTAATTCATTACGTATATAATGGGTTAATGAACCCATCCTATCAATGAACCCATTTCCATCATTGTCATCATTCAATCAGCATTTATTCCATTCATATTATCAATCATCAATCATTCCATTCATTAAAAATATTGATTTTTCAGACTGTTATCACAAGTCATTATTAAGTCATTATTATTTAGTCATTTTAAGTAAACATTATTTCCCAGCAGACTAGTTCAAGAGTGTAAGAAGTTCAATAGGATTTCCGACAACGCATGGGATCTAGAAAGAACATCGCCTTGTTGTATGTATGAGAGATATGAATTTTGTCATGCTATCTACTCAGATATACTTCATTGCGTTGATTCTACTCTTCGTCAACCTTTTTACGTCATCAATCATCATTGAATGTGGGGTATTGAAATGGACGACGGTTTGCCTACAAGTGCGCCTTCGTTAAAATTTCTTGTAGCGATATTCCTGCTTCAAGATTTGCCAGTCTTCACTAACGAAAAATTATTTCGTTAGTGAAAGCTGTGCGGCGAGAGAAGCAATGTCCAGAAAGGAGCGCACGTAGGGTAACATGGGGCAGCGGGCCCCCCTTTTTTCAAACCAAATTTTTTATAAAGTTTTAGCTGATATGAGGTAGTGCTTTGTTTTGTTTAAAGTTACAACTAATGTAGAATGTATGATGTGAATTACACGCCTATAGAGTTATGCAATTTTTAATAAAACCTTATTTTGTAAAAAAGGTCAAAATGGGCCCATTGCCCCGCCCCTGGGGCAATAGGCACATGGGCTAGGAGCAAGGCGCCCACCTCTGGTTCCCTTACATCAATTGCATATTTGTTTTAAAAATGCCAAAACATCACTTTACAGTTAAAAATAAGAAAAATGTAATAAATATATTACATTAATTCATTTATTAACTTAAAAATCATATCCTTAACTTAAAAAAATATAACTCAATAAGGGGTCATAAATACGCATAACTAGAAACTAGAACCTGCTGCCTTGAGGCGGCAAATAAAAAAGACATACAATTGAAGTGTAATTTGTAATTCAAAAACTAGTCATTCTTTTGAAGAGCTCATTGAGACAAATCAAATGATGTACAACACAATAC